CTGCCAGGATTCTTTCCTTATTTCCTTTAATTGGATTGCAAAGTCATCTCTGAAACTTCAGGCAGGTTTCCATCCTTTTGGGTGCCAGATAGAAAGAAGCCTGGCTGCACCTCCAGCTGTAATTACAGACCCTGCTAATTGCATGCCATGGTGGATGGAGCCAGGGAGCCTTCTTTGGGCACATCTCTGTTGAGCTGAGGCACATCCCCTGCACCGGAGGAAGGCACAGTCCTGCAGCAGTGGCCACACAAGGTCAGTGCAGCCCCAAGGCTGCAGGGCTCAGGTGGGATTCCCAGGACCCTGATCCAAGGATTGGGACTATAATCAGGGCTGCTCCCCACCCTGTGGCTGTTGTAGAGAAAGCTGAACAAAGCAGATTGTTTCATTTCTGATGCTTCTCTAGCATAAAAACTGATGCAAGGTTTTGTTTTCCCTCAGGAGCAGAGCAAACAATTCCCTGTACAGCCATAATTGATGACCCATTTTTCATCCTCATAACACTGACAGGTGCTGTGTATGTTGTACGTGAGAATAGATGCCACAATAAATGTGCTGTGGAGATTCCTGTTCTGCTTTGCAGCATGCTGTGTTGTTGGTAAGGAAAATGAAGATAAATACGCTGAGCACCATGTTACTTATCCCCAGTGTTGGCACAGATTGGCGTGAGCCATCTCTGCCCTTTTGTTTCCAAGGCTCCTGGTTGGGAAGTCAGCATGGCTGTCTTTAAAATCTGTCTTCTGTGATAAAGCAGAAGAGGTGCAGGGGTGAGACCCTTCCACCCACGTCTCCTTGGGGCCATTCCCCAGGGCATCCCACTCTCTTAGATCCCAGTATTCTCATTCCATGGGCACTGCTGGGCTGGGATGGGGGAGGCTCTGGGGGAGGATGCTGAGGAGCAGAGCAGGGCCTTACTGTAAAACCTATGATCCTCAACAGATCCTCTTACCCCTAATCTGCCCCTGAGACGTGTCTCTCTGCTTCTTGCCAGAAAAACCTTTTATGTGCAGACTGATGTGAATAAAAGCTGATAAGCCCCTAATTCTTTGGTGTATCTGCTCTAAAAAGAGGATTGACTCTTATCTGCTGTGGGGCTGGCAGCCAGGGAGATGCTAATTGCACTTTAATGCAGTGTGCATGGCCCTAGAGGAGAGGGGCAGGTGGGCTCCTTCCCTGTGCCGTGCTGGGTGTTGGGTGCTGCCTGGTTCTATGCCTGTCTGCTGCTCCGCAAGGTGGAGACACCAACTTGGCATCATTCTGAGGGCTCATGTGAAGCTGTAGTAAGGGTTCAGCAGTGCTTGTGCTACTCCAGCGTCTGTTTGCAGTTGTTGGAACTTCAGTATTTGTTTAGATGTTGATTTCAGACCCATGAGCAGTGTTTGCCTGCTGCATTCTTGCTGTGTTTCCCCCATCAGACACCACAGGAGGTTTACAGTTAGCTGACTTGCAGGGCTGGCCCTGAGCGGGGCCGAGGGATGCTTTGGGGTTGAGGGATGCTCAGGGCCATGGTGACAGTAGTTCTGGTATGGGATGCATTCTCACCTGGGACCTTTCCTCCCTTAAAGCATCCTGCGCTCAGCCATAGCTCAGTGCTGTGTTATCAGTGTGAGCTGCGTGCCAGAATGTGGCAAAACTGCCATCCTGGGCTGCAAGTGAGCAGGGACTGGATTTTTTCCTTTTCCCTATCCACCCACTGAGGCTTCTTGAATTCTGGGGGGCTGTTCTTAGAGCATTTGTGCTGCCCCAGGCTGGGCTGCTGTGGCTGGAGTTGCTGAGCTTGCTGGCAGCACGTGTGTATTCCCTGGGGAAACTCCAGGGTTTTAATGAGCAAATTGTGGTGTCCTGCTGCTCTGGGCAGCTTTCCATATTGATCCTTCATCCATTTCCATCTCTGCTCTCACAGACAATGTGTGTGTGTCTGTCTGTAGGTGCAGTCCTGCTTGACTGTGGGGTGTCTGTGCTGGGGGAGGAATTTGGGGTCTGCGCACCGAAGGCATTTGGTGCCATTCTGTTCCAGCCTTGATGCAGGGGTGGCTGTAGTGTCCACCCTGTGGCTAAAGTCCCAGCCGCGGGCTGGGCTCAGTGCCTGCCCCTGCAGTGGGGTTCTCAGGGAGTGACCACGTCCCCATCCCTGAGTCTCCCTTTGCCATTGGTGTCTCTGTACCATAGCTGTGTATGGAGGCGATGCTGTGGCTGGGTTACCCTGAGCCCTCGGATGTGCTGGGAGAACCAGAGGAAGTTCTTCCCCTCCCCATGCTGGAGAGCTGCACTGAGCAGCTTTTGATTTGTCAAGTTTAACTGTGAAGCGAGTTAATCCATGTATCCAACTGAACGCTTAAGGCTTTAATTAATTAATGAGCAAATGAGCAGAAAAGCTGCAGGGAGGCAGAGAACACTGGGTCGGGTTGTCCATGCCATAACTGACCACGAGTTGGTGCTCCGGCCTTGGTGGGCAATGCATGTGGCTCCCAGTGGGACATCCTTGCACGGGCAGTGCCCCAGCAGCAGCTGCAAGCACAATGTTGGAGAGCAGTAGGCTGTGGGGAGCAGCCTGTGAGTCTTCCCTTCCTCTGCTTCCCAATGGCAGTGCTGGGTGGGTGATGCTGCCCATCTCTGAGGTCTGTCTGCACGATAATAGCATTGCCCCTGCATCTGTGAGGCTCCAGCTTTATTTATCTGATGTCTTGAGGACAATTTCACTTACAAACATCTTGTTCCTGCAGCAGCAACTCTCAGAGTGTTCCACACTGTAAGCTCTGCTAGAAAATGCTTTGACAGCACTGTCAAAGCCCGTGTGAAAAGCTGTGCAAGAACTGCTTTCCTGAACATGCAGAGAGCGACAGCAGAGATCAGTTGCATGGACAGCTTTGCTGCAAGCATTACGTCTGCTATAGTGCGTGTGTGAGCCTGTGCTCGAGCGCAGTGCTCCCTCACTTGTCCTGAGTATGTCCTGCAGTGGGTGACCAAAAGTATCGGCTTCATACTGCAGCCTCGCAGATTCATCCATTTTCCCCAGCCTGCCCCAGCAGCACCTCGATGCACAGCTCCCTGCTGCTCTTCCAGATGGTAATTAAGCTTAAGAATCCTCCCCTAACCCAAAATGTAGGGCAGTTGTAATTAGTGTGAATCCTGCTGCTGCTCTCTTGCTTTTAATTAAGCTCTTCCAGAGAACAGGTACTAAACGAGGTGTCAGCACTCAGAAGGTGGTTTGCGGAGCGAGGTTTGTGGAGTGAGGTTTGCAGTACAGCCACTGCCTGTTGTGCTCCAAACCCACAGCTGTGCTTTGCATCGCTCACTGAGCAGAGGGTCGAGGAGCTGCCACATGCACCCTGGGCTGCTGCCCCCCACTGCTCGGTGCCAGGCACAGCTATTGTCTGCAGCGTGGCTGGGATATGGGTATCAGCCTGAGCTGTGCTACAGGGCAGAGTGCTCTGCAGGTCCCCAAGCCGTCCTGCTGTGGGCAGCTGCAAGCTGTCGCCTGCAGGAAATCACCTGTGGCTGCTGGCAAATGCTTTCCTTTTGTCGAGCAATGAGCATAAATCTATGAAATATTTAGTGAGAGCTGGCTGATTACGACGAAGAAATGAACAGATATCTTGGAAAAATGATGTGCAATTATTGCAAGGTATTCTACATCCTACCAAGGCAAACTGCAAATGTGCTGATGCTTTGTTAGGAAGGCAGCAGCTCCAGGCTGGGCTAGGTGTTCACACTGCTGCTGCTTGAAGCTGTGATGCCGCAGATCCATCAGCAGCTCCAGCTGTGCACCTTTCCCTTTCCCTTTGCCTTTCCCTTTCGCTTTCCCCTCTGCAGCCACAGCCAGGCTGCCCACTTCTTCCACTCCTGGGCTGTGAGTCACTCCTCTCCCTCATCTCATCACTGCTTTTGAAGGTATTTATAAACCATGTTCATCTCCCTGCGCCGGCTTCAGCAGACAGTGTAAATTTAGCGTGCTTTTTCGCTCCACGCCATCCTCCTCATCCGCATCCTCATGGCCATGCTCTACTGGAAAGCAATGGGATTGGCATCACAGCAGGTGCAACCAGCATCCCACCTGGCCCTGTCATTGCTTGGGGCTTTTTTAATCATACCCCGGTGATTACTGTGCTAATTTCTGTGGAATTCTGCTCCTAGCTGTGGGACTGCTGTATGTTTAGGATTGGGTTTGGTTAACACACTGGGGATGCTGAGTGCCTCACTGTGCCTATCCTACAACTCTGCTGGCTTCAGTGGGGCTCTGAAAATCAGTATCCAGGGTGCTGGTGATGCTTTGCTGCTGCAGTCCTGGATCTGTCTGGGAGTTCATGGCACCAAATAGGAAAACTGTGGTTGGTGGTGCCAGGGATATCTGTGTGTCCTGTGCCTGCCTGGTCAGGCGCTGCTGCTGCACATCACATGGTGACAACTCGTGGCTCACCTTGGAGCCGGTCCACAAAGCAATCGCTGTTGGGGCCAATTAATTTGCTGAGCATCCTGGTGGTGTTGTGGGAGCTGCTGGATCATTATCTGCAGTTGTTTATGCAGGAAGAGGGCACCCAGCACCATGCCAGACCCCAGCTGGGGCACAGCGGGCATCACCTCACCACAGATGGCTGTGGGGACCGAGCCCAATGCTTGCTGGGAGAACAACAAGTAAAAGCAGCAGGAAAAGGAGTTCTGTGTAAGTTGCTAACTGAATATGGAGTCGCTTGCTGTGCCTTTTGAAGGCTGCTAAGATGGGATGCTGGCACTCGTTAATTTATTGCCAGAGGTGATCCAGCCCGAGCCACACACCACATTAAATCAGCATTGCAGACACGGATTTAAATATCCAAATAGATGTAACTTGCAGCAAACACAGGAAATGATCTTCTCGCTGTGCAAATACAAATTGCTCCAACAATTTGGGCTGTGATGTGCAAGTTTAAAAAATGGGGAGAGAATATCAGCAGTGCACTGGCAGAGTTGGTGTGGGGCAGCAGCTCCCGGTCTCAGCGCTGCTTCTCTTTTGTCTTGTCTTGCAGAACAAGGTGCTGACAGTGGATGGGGTAAAGGTGAAGCTGCAGGTGAGTCCCTGGAGCTGTGCTTACAGTGTTCAGGTGTGGTAAAACCCCTCAGAGCTCCAGGGCTGGAGACAGCCCCAAGAGTCCAATCTCTGTCCCATGTTTGGAAGCTGCCATCGTGTGTGTCCCCACTTCGCCAGCTGTGTTGGCATGTGGATGTGCACATGTGTACATGTGCAGCCCAGCCATGCCAATAGTGCCCACCTTCCCCTGATAGCAGCTCAGTGCTCTGGAAACATCGCTGTGCTAAAACTGGATCAATTCAGTGCACGGTCCCTGTGCATCCTTCTGCTGGTCAATTTCCAATGGAGCTCATGAGCCCTTTGTCACACACCCATGTCCCTGCAGTTGGATGTGCTGAGGAACAGGGAGGTGCTGCTTACATATTTATTCACTTGTCACTTCTCACCATTCTCAGCGAGCTCCTCTGCAGCTGCAAACTGCTCATGTGCAAATAGATCAGCCCCTGGGTTGCTGTTAGAAGCAAAATGCTGAAAAAACTTTGTGGGGTTGCAGTGTGCTATGGTCATGTGCTGTTTCCATCCTGTGAGTGGTGGCATGATGTTTCACCCCTCTCCTCTGCCTTGCAGATCTGGGACACGGCTGGCCAGGAGCGCTTCCGCAGTGTCACACACGCGTATTATCGGGATGCCCATGGTGAGCACATCCCCAGCAGGGCTGGGGGGCTTGGGGAGCACAGCATGGTGCCAGCACTAACACCTACCACTCTCTCCACAGCCCTGCTCCTGCTGTATGATGTCACCAACAAGGCATCCTTTGACAACATCCAGGTATGTGCGACACCTCCCAGACTGCTCCTGATGGCTTCGGGCAGCTCTGCGTGTTTCTGGGGTGCTATTGTTGCTCCCTAAGCTCTGAATCTCCAGCTGGTGCTCAGAGCAAACCGGTGGGTCATTGGCTGCAGATGGCATGGAGGTTTGGCAGCCTTCATGATGCTTTGTGCTGGAGATGAATGGGGTTCAGGGAGCCTGGGGAAAAAGAAAGCTGGAAGGAGCTGTGGCTGATGCTGCCCCACAGCAGAGGTGGTACTGTGGGAGGTGGCACTGTGGGAGGTGCACGCCAGCTGTGCGAGCTGTGGGCATTCCCAAAGGGCTGCAGACAGTGCCCCGTGTGCCCAGCTGGCAGCTGCTGAGGGGCTGCTGATGAAGATGCCGGAGGACACGCAGAGAACATTTTCACTTTCCTGGCAATCAGAAAGGTTGATGGACTGGGTTCAGTGACAGATTTATGCCACGTGTAATTACAGCACCAGCTGGATAGCTTGCTCCTGGTGATCAGGGGCAGCAAATGCCAGCAGCGAAGTGCTCCCTTGTCCCCACTCTGCTGCGATGTGTCCCCATGTTGCCCCATTGCCTTAGCAGCAGACCCGGGCAGAGGAGAGGACCACATCCCACTGTCCCTCATTCCCTGCAGACCCACAGGTTCCCCACACATGGCACCTGGTGCTCAGGGCTGGGCAGCCCCAGCTGACTCTTCCTATTCCTGAAGCCCATCTCACTGCATCCCATCTCTGCTTGTGTCTCTCCAGGCATGGCTGACAGAGATCCACGAATATGCACAGCAGGATGTGGTCCTCATGTTACTGGGTAACAAGGTGAGTTGGACCCATGGAGCTAGTCCTGCCAGGATGCTATGGAGATGGGCAGGGGTGGGTGCAGTGCAGCCATGCAGCTGCAGGTTTTGGGGCAGCAGAGGCGCAGAAAGTGACCACATGTCCCAGGGAGGGATGCAGTCATCACCAAAGCTGTGGTCCTGCCCATCTCCCTCCTGGTGCACAAAGCTGACTCCTGCTCTGCGTGCTGATGATCTGCAGAGTCTCTCCCAGGGATGCTGCATTGAAATGAGGTGCTGGAGATGGAAGCAGTGTCTTGTGCTCACCCTGTGGATCTGAGTCCCAGATCCCTCTTGCTGCCAGGGCATTGCTGCTTATGCTGATGGGACGGAATTCCTGGGGCATGAGGCTTATCTAATGCTGAGCTTCCAAATAATCTCCCTTTCTTCTTTTGCTGTTGGCAGGTGGATTCAGCCCAGGATAGAGTGGTGAAAAGGGAAGATGGAGAAAAATTGGCTAAGGTATGGGAGGTACTCTTTGCTGCATGTGGGTATTTGTTATGCTCAGACTGGGCAGGCAGCACAGCAGCCATGGGGATGACTGCGGAGTGGGATTCATCCTTTGTCTCCCTCTCTTCTCTCTCATCTGCTCATCCCTTAACCCTCCGCTGCCCTCCTTGGTTCGATGTCTTCACATTTCTTCTGAAGCTCTGTACAAATGCTGTCTTGTCCTGCAGGAGTACGGGGTGCCCTTCATGGAGACCAGCGCCAAAAGCGGCCTCAATGTGGAATTAGCATTCACAGCTATCGCAAAGTAAGGGGGGGGGTTCTGGCTGTGGGGAGGACGGCATGCAGCACCAGTCACTGTGAAGGGGCTGGTGTCACACAGCTTGGTAGCAAGCTGTATGGGCAGAGAAGTAAAGTGCTTTCCCCTTCCTGCAGAGAACTGAAACACAGGTCCATGAAGCTGCCCAACGAACCCAAATTCAAGCTCCATGATTACGTGAAGAAGGAAGTGAGAGGCTCGGGCTGCTGCAGGTTCTGATACGCTCGGTGCATTTGTACAGAGACTCATGCCACGTGTTTGTGCGCTCTCTCCTCGTGGACAGTGTGTGCATGTCTGTCTTGTGTCTGTATCTGCGTAAAAGGTGAGCTGAGATGTGGGGGTGAAAGCAGCAGAAGCTCCTCAGGCTGGCAACAGGCTGGCCGTGCTGCACCACAGCCGCTCCCCGAGCCCCGCAGCACCCACAGCCCCGCTGTGCTCCGCTCCTGCAGAGAAGCAGCACCTCTCGCAGCTTCTCCACTCCTGCCTTGCCCAGAGCCACTTCTCGGTGCAGCTGTGGCTCCTGGAACGATGGGTTCCTGCATCTGTTCAGCAGTGACAGTCCTTCGCCCAGAGCGTCTTCGGGTGCGTTAGTGTTAGGAGTGATGATGTCGGGGAGTGCCTGCTCCCCACCAAACATCCGGGCAGAAAAAATCCTGAATTCCCTTTTCCCACACCTTTGGAATTCAGCTGTTCAGATTCTGGGGCACGCAGGAAGGCTTTGTTTTCAAGGCAACCGTTTTTGTAGGTGCTTACTTCTGCCTGTCAGTTGTTCCCGTGTTGTAACATACCTCCTCGATGAAGATTTCTCCTCTTCCCCGCAGAAGACAGAGCTTAGATGTCTGTTTGAGTGAGCTCCTGCAAACACATCTGTTGTACAGAGATCTGACTGTTTATCTGTTTGGTAAAGGCTTTGGTTCTCTTACTACAGCCATTTCTAGTACTTTAATGAGAAGAAAGCTAATGTTCTGCAGCTTATTCTAAATACCTTTATGTAAGTGTGATAGCATTTTTAGACCACAACAATGCTTAGCTATCTCTGAAGTTCTCTTGGGACAGCTCTTTCTTCTAACAGAAGAAAGATGAGGAGAGTGCTGTAGGCATTGATTGTACAGGTCTAAGACTCTCCTGCCAGCTCTCTTCAATGGACTCCTCACCCCTTTTGTCTGGTGCCAAGCGTTTGGCTTTTGCTTTTTTCCAAGTTGCACTTCAAAGTACAGATCTGGATGATGTGTTTGGCCTTTGGCAATTTTCTTATTCAGCAATTCCACATGCACTAACACCAGGTGCCCACTGCATTGAACCTCCCTGCACTGCTCTAAATGGACCACTGAAGTCAACCCACCCTTCACTTCCCAAACACCAGCTTTCTCAGCAGTGAGTCGGGGTGCAGCTGCCCCTCATTGTGCCAGCTTGAGCTGCAGCAGCATTTCCAAAGGGCACTCAGCACAGGAGCCAGGCAGGCAGTGACAGAGGAGACCCCTCGGAGCTGCACTTCTCAGTGAGCTGCAGTAAAATAAGCAACATGCAGAGCAACTGCTGAAACGGGTCCAGCACAGTAATAACAGAGCCTAAAATAAACCTTTTCATAAATAGCTTTTTAGGGAGAAATGTCTTTCAGTTCTCTTATTTTTGTTAAAAACCTGTTCCTGGGGGATGTTTGCAGCTCGCAGCCTCCTGCCACCATGCATCCCCAGGCAGTGCCTGCTCCGTGCTGGCAGCCAGCACACAGGACCTGGGGAACAGAGCCAGGGCCTCTTTTTTCTCATCAGCCCTGTCAGGCACTCCTTCCCTTGCAATCGCCCTGTCCTGTCTAGCCTCAGCAGAGGCAGCCTCCAAGCATCACTGCAGCTGCCCTGCACTCTGATCAGACTTTATGAAGGAGTGGAAACCTACTGAACTGCTTTGTGCTGCTTTGTTGAGCTTTGTTGTGCTCCTGTAGCTGCTACCTGATCAGTACCTCTCATGATGCTGCTTAACAGCTACCTTCATTCTCATTCTGGGCTGTAGCACATGCTTGCTAGCTGAGGTTAAAAAAAGAGTGGAATTTTCTACAGCCCTCAGCCTGAAGGAGCAGCATTTTGGTATCCTGGCTGTACAGCTCCTGGGAATTTCCACAGAAGCACAGGAGACAGGCAGCTCCAACACCCAGATCCGTTCCCAAGCCTGCCTTCAGGATTGTATTTTCTCAGAATAATCTTAGCAGTGTAACAGCAGCCCCTGCCCCATGCTGCTAATCCCTGCAGACACTCCGCTCTTATCTGGGCAGGAACGCCTTGTATCTTGATGAAAAAGCTGGCAGTTACTGGTTTGGTTCTTTATGGGGGGACCAAAAGCAAGCTAAAAAAAAAAAAAAAAAAAGTGAAGTAGAGGAGATGCAAATGCTACTCCTTGAAGGTACCTTTTGGGACCTAAGCAACCAGCATAAACATCACAACTGTATTTGTGGCCTCTCCTAACACACCTAGGCTTCGACGAGGCGCAACTCCCCCTCTATCCCACCACAGACTGCCCACGCTCTACTCGTCCCCAGTGCCTGCATGCAGCGCAGCTCTGAAGCCCTTCCTCAGATTCGGCCATTTTATACACGGGCCTCGACTGCCGCCCAGCGACGGAGCAGTGCTCAGTGCACCACGCAGGCCAGACAACGCGGCATCACTTGCACTTCTCATTCGCGCTGGCTCGTTTATAGCTTTTATTTCATTCCTGTTAATAAATTTTTTTAATAATCTCCGTGGCTACGGTGGTGCTTTGGCTATTGTGGCACATACCCCCCTTGGTTAATCATTTAATTATCTAAGTTCACTGTGTGCCCAGAGCCAGAGGTACGATCGGTCTGTAGTTTCCCGTGTGACGCATAAAAGGAACAGAAGCAAAATTTCAAGCCTTCTGAAAGCTTTATTGAATCTGTAAGCTGTAGAGTCAGACCGGCACAGGAGCTCCAGTGGAAACACGGAGGCCGCCGAGCGGTGCGGGCCTCCCGACGCTCAGCCTGCACGTGCGCTCCGCACCGCAGCACGCGCCCACCGCGAGAAGCGTGCCGGGCGCTAAGGGAAGCAGCCCAGGCTCTCGCTGCCCCTCACGCCTCTGCGATCCGATTCCCGGCAGGTCCTGAAAGAGAAAAAGCAGCGCGGTGAGAGGGAGCCGCACCGCCCGGCCCAGCCCCGCTGCGGGGCCGCGAGCCTCAGCCGTAAAGCGTCAGCAGTGGCCGCGGCCGCCCGCCGCCCTCAGACGAGGTGTCAGAAAAGCAGAAATCATCCCCGGCTCGCCCCGCCCCGCCCCGCAGCGCCCGCTCACAGCTCACTCCAGCCACGCTCACCTCCAGCCTGGAAAGGCCGAAACACGCGCTCGCTGTAGAATTTATACATATCCCGCCGCCGCTATTGGTCAGGATGCCTGTGGACCCAACCAATCCCGAGCAGCTGAGGTGATCGCCGGCCCGCCTCTCCCAACGCTTATTGGTCGACGTTTTTCCTCTCTCCAATGGCGCCGCGCGGCGCAGCGTGGCCCGAGGCGTGGTCTGCTGTCTCCCGATTGGCTCCCGCGTGGCGTCAGGAGAAGCCAGTAGTAACAGTGATTGTAGTGAGGAGTGACTGCGGGAGCGCCAATCACCGCTCTGCCGAAAGGGCTGCTGGGAATTGTAGTCCCAGCGTCGCAGAGGCGCGGCGAGAAGCGGACGGACAGGACTACAAGTCCCGAGGAGCGCAGAGCGCCGCTCTTCTGGCCCGGGTGGCAGCTGAGCCGCTAGACGAGCGAGAGGGAGGCCTGGGGCCGCGATGTGCCGGGATCGGGGACCGGCGCTTCGGCCGCCGCCGCTGCCAGGTACCGCTGGGGGAGCCCACAGCCGAGCGGGGCCGGCGCGGAGCTGCGGGAGCGCTGGGTAAAGCCGGGCCGGGGATTGCGGGGCCTCACGCAGTGTGGGACACGGAGGGGTGGATTTCTGTCACCGCTCCCGAGCCGTTCCTGACACTGTACGGAAGCGTGGGCGCCTTCCAGACCCGTGGCTGTCCCGTAACGTCAGAGACGGCGGCTCAGGCTCTGCTGGAGCCGAGGAGAAGCATGGTACGAGAGCGGGGTGTGGGCTGGGGGCAGCAGGCCGGGCTGAGCGCTGTGCTGCCCTCGGAGGAGGTTCTGGGCACCTCTGCCTCGCGTCTGGCAATGGGAGGCAATTCTTTGCTCCAGCCCCGGCAGGCTGATTGTGCCTTTTCGTTTCCCCGCAGCGAGGTATTGCAGCATGCCCTAAGCAGCGAGCTCCTGTGAAACAGCTGTTGCGTGTTGGCCGTGTTTCTCCCGCTGGTTCCTGCGGACAGCCGCAGTGATCAGTTCGGTCGCAGTGTGTGAGAAATGGCCGTGAAAGCCCTAACAGAGGGAGGAAGGCAATGTCGGGGTTGGCTGCTTGCACGGTGGCTGCAGGAGCTGTGTGAGGAGAGCAGCAGATCGGGAAATGTGTATTGTGTGGGGGTACTGACCATGAGTTCAAAAAGAACAGAAAGTGCTGTCCTCATTGCACGTCTGGCAAGAGGAAATCGAAGAGCTGGGAGGTTTCCCAAGAGTCAGGCAGGAACATGTAGAATCTGGCTCAGCTTAGTGCCCATGAGTCCTGGGGTGTCCCTGAGTGCTTCTGTCCCAGGTGGGGTTGAAAATGCAGGGTAAATCTGGCTCACAGAAAGCTCTGGGTGGGCTGGTCCTGAGTGCTGGACATTTTGCAGTTGTGGCTGAAGTTGGGTGGTGTTCAGCAGTCACCTCGTGGGCTGAGCATTGGCTGAGCCTGAGGCACCTTGTAGCCCAGATTAACACTTTCTGAAGCCAAGTCCAGCTGTGCCAGGAGGAAGGCACTTGAGAGCAAATCCTGGTTTCACTAACCAAACACTTGAGTAATGTGAACATGCGCAGGCTGTCAGATCTCTTCCATCCATTTTGTTCCTGTTATCATCCCTCCTGTGCATTCCCTCACCATGGGCAGTGAGGTCCGTGCTGGCCGTGTTCCCCTGCGCTGGGGCTGGCTGGGGACATAGCAGCTGCCTGGAGGAAGCTGTTGTGCCATGGACCCCCATCCTCAGGGCTCTTCCTTTCTGTGCTAATGAGTTAACTTAGTTAACTGGTTTTCCCTGGAGCATCTCTGCAAGCACAGAGTGTGTCACTCTTTGTCGGGCTGCTCAATATTCAGTATTATGAAGCTTGAGAACTACCTAAAGAGGTCAAGACACTCAAACTCCCTTCAGTGTGAATGGTGGATGATCCTGCGGATTTCTCAGGTTGGAGGCATAAAGCAGTGCGTGCTCAGGTTGTTTTTGCTTAACCCCTCTGATCTGTGAGCAGCGCAGGGCAGCACGAGGATTGGCTGAGCTGTGGGATTTTCCAGCCGAATTTACATGTCGCCCACTGCTCTGCATGCCTTTCTGTTTACATCACTGGGGAGCAATACACACATACACAGCACCAGATAGCGGAAGAGGCATTCTGACTGAGGGAAGCCTGTCTGCAGCTCAGGAACTGGATCATGGTGGTGTGTCACCAGGCCCCGCTGTGCTGGGGCTGCCAGGGGTGAGTCCTGCGGGGTGGCGTGGGCACAGCACAACACAGGAACAGCAGAGCAGCACAACGTGCATGCTGTCTGGATCCCATGGGTCAGGCATGGTGCTCACTGGCAGCAGAGCGGAGGAACTGTTCTCCAACCTGTGCCATAACAAGGTGCAAGAGGTGTCTGAAATCCAGCTCAGAAGCTCAATTGAGGCTCATAAGCAGGTGCCTGTTGCCTGCAGCTAGTTGGAGCAGTGTTGAGCTAGTTTTGTGATCCTCCTTTGCGAGGACACGTAATATGTGTGCAGCAATGCGGCGAGTGTTTTCTGGGGTTGTTCCAGGTGGTTTCAGAAGTGTGAAACCCTCTGTTGTTTAAAGCAGGGGTGCTGGTGAGGCGAGGCAGCGTCTCACTGCCTCACCCTTGTGTCCCGAACCATTGTGACTGCAGTGCAGCTGCTGACTGTCTGCTGGGGTAATTTAAACACAGCCTTCCTAGCATGGTGTGGGACACTGAAGCTCAGTGCTCGGTGCTTCAGTGCTTGGTAGATGTGCCACAATTGAAGTGTTGATCTCTATTGATTGCTCAGGAATCAAAGATTTGGAGCTTGTTTATCTAAGGGCAGGACATCACTCTGCTCTCATGCTGCCTGTAAAGCACTACAGTTTCTGGGTTGCTGGCTAAGAGTTCCTGGCAGTGTTAGCAGCTTTGGATTGTGCCCAGTTTGTTCTCAGTGGAAAACTGTGCAAAATAACCCAAAAAGGGCACAGATGACTGAAATTTACTGGGACCTTTTATTTGGGAAGAAGCTGATGCATTTCAGATGGATCTTTAAAGTGCTCTGATTGCGCCCAGAAGGCAAACAGGAGCATGTCATCGAGTTTCAAAGCTTTGGAAGATGTTTGGGAAGAGCAGGGGAAGGAAGTGTGATATTTGGTACTTTTTGAGTAATGACAGGCTCGGATTTCTTGTGACTTTAACCTGGCCAGGTTACTTTCTGTTTTTCTCTCTTGCAGCCTTGCTGAAGTGCAAACTAACCTGGCCTCAGCCACCTGCACAGTGCTGGCAGAGATGAGAGGTGAGCAAGGCAGTCAGGAGCTGCTGGAGAGGTTTGCTGTGCATCCTCCTGCTGCTCCTGTGCTGCTTACTGAAGCCTTCCAGGCATAGGCTTTCCTTTCTCATGGGCTGTCCTGCCAGGACAGGGTGTTGGCAGGAGTGCTCCATGCCCTGGGCTTTGCTGCTTACCTGGTATGCCATAGAATTCCTTGTATGTAAAATGTGTGTGTTGGGGGAATTCCTTATTCCCTTCACTGGGTTGTGCTAGCTTTGTAGGGAGCTCCAAGCCTGACCAATGCTATTTACAAGTTTTATTGTGCATTTCTTGTGGGAGCTCTTTGCTGTTTCCAGTGGCTCCCAGGATTGTGAAGGAATTGGAGTCTTTCTATCTATTGGATTTTTGTTCTTTAAGTGAGAATAAGGGAAAGATCTGAAGTGTTTTAGGGCCAGTGTTAAGGCTCCTTGTGTGTAAGGGCCAGGTGTGAGAGCTCGGTTTGTGCCCATTCCAGCCATGCCAGCAGTGATGTGCAGACACTCAACCAGCACCAACCAGGGCCAGGCACTGCCAAACTTCATCTGCAGCTTCATGTGCAAGGAAAATGGTGTGGAAGGTGGATGCTTCCTAAAATGGAAGTAAAGCCTCAAGTATGGCTTTTGTGACATGGAAACAGCATTGAACTATGGCTCTGTTCTAACTCAATTCTAGCGTTTTGGGGAAAATGAGATGCTTTGTTCCACCAGAGCAGTTGGTTTTGATCCTGTTACAACCGCATTTGAAAGTTATTGCTTTAGGTTTTAGTGTCAAGTATAGCAAACAGCCAGTCTGTCCCAAGGGCTCGTTAACCTTATGGAAGAAAAGAACATTTACTGTGGAAGTATTTCCTTTTCTGAACTATATTTGCAGAAAGGAATGGCAGCGTTCAAACAGCTGTGCTTCTGTCACACTGCTGGATGTGCCCTCTCAGCTCCGCTGTAAAATGAAGCACTGGTAAAAGCAGCAGCAATTAAAAGTGTCACATTTATTTTTCTTGATGACAGCGCTGTGCAGCTCTGGTCTCACTTCAGCTCAGAAAAGTTTGTAGGGCTTTTAAAAGCAACGAAAAGACTTGTGCACAATGAAAAGCCTTTCTGTTCCGCAGAAGCGAGGAACCACCAGC